CTCTCCCCATCAATCTAGATCTGCTTTCAGGAGGGAATTGCCAGACCCCCACAGCCACACTGGGATGGCTATCCCCTTCAGTCATTCATGCACCCACTTGTCCAGTACAGCCTGAGCACCTTCCAGCCAGACACTGTGGCTGACCCTCCTCCAGGAAAAGTCCCACCCTATGCCTCATCTCCCATTTGTGGGATGGAGAGCTCTGAAGAGAACAGTCACCATCAGCACAGGGTGGCAGAAAGAAGTGGGCTTGGAAACAAGACAGACTTGGGACAGACACAGCACAGGCTTGCCTGGGACTGACCACAGCACAGACTTGGGACTGACCATGACACAGACCTGGGACTGACCACAACACAGGCCTGAGACTGTCCGCAGCACAGACCTGAGTCTGATCACAACACAGAATTGGGGTTGACCACAACACAGACCTGGGATTGACCACAGCACAGACCTGGAACTGACCACAACAGAGACCTAGGACTGACCACAGCACAGACCTGGTATGGACACACACAGACCTGGGACTGACCACGATACAGTCCTGGGACTGTCTACAGCACAGACCTGGGACTGACCATGATGCAGTCCTGGGACTGTCCACAGCATAAACCTGGGACTGTCCACAGCTCAGACCTGGGACTGACCACAGCACAGACCTGGTACAGACACAGCACAGACCTGGGACTTATCACAACACATATCTGGGACTGACCCCAATACAGATCTGGAATTGACTACAACACAGATCTGGGACTGATCATAACACAGACCTGGGACTGACCACAGTACAGCCCTGGGACTGTCCACAGTACAGACTTGGGACAACCACAGCCTAGACCAGTTCTGAGTCTCCTTTACTTGGCAAGAGACAAATTCCAGAACTCTGAGCCGCATGGGGTGAACACCAGGATATCTGGGCCTTGGTTTGGTTTTGTTGATGGCGTGACTAGGAGAGGTCAGCTGCCCTGTTTGGAAGATGGTAAAGGAACTTCCTGAGTACAGGCTGTGCACCAGACCTTGTTTCCTAATTTAATCTTTACAACAACCCCAAGCGGTCGGTACTATTACCTCCATTTTACGAATGAAACTGAGGCCGGGGGAGATTAATCCAGCAAGGAGCTGGCAGAGGGAGGGCTAGAACCCAATGTGCCAAGCTCCAAACTCCCTCACAGGATTCCAAGGTTAGGAAGCAGGACAGGATTTCCCCAAGGTGGACCCCCACTCTGGCTCACTTGGAGAGAGACAGCTCCCAACTCTGCAGTTGGTCAGACCCAGGGATGTCCAGGGGTGCCTCTCAGCACTTTCAGCTGATTTCTAGTGGACAGCACCCCCTCTCTCCCGCCCGATTTCATTCAAGGTACGGATACATTTGTCTGGTTTTTTGGTTTGTTTGTTTTTCCCACAGCAAAGGCTTCAAAACAAGAAGCCAAAAAGCTGCCGCATGCAGCAGGGCTCAGGCACAGAGCTTCTGGGACCTTCTCTAAGCTACCCCTCACTCACAGGTGTGGATTTGGTCAAGTCCCCACCCCAGTCTGGGCCTCAGTTCCCCATAGGTAAAAGTGGAGGCAGGGGCAGGACTGGCCAGTCTCCAGGGCTCTCCCCACCACTCTCTAGATTCGCACAGGGCCAAGAGCGTTCCGTGTGCAGTCACCCCAAACAATTTCTTCCATCAGTTCTTCATCTAGAGATAGACCAGTGGTATAAATAGCAACCTAATCTCTTCCACATTCTTTGTGCTGCTAAAATGAAAGCAAAAATTCAAAACTGGAAGAACAAAAAAACTCCCTTCTGAGAATACTGAGTCACTCCAGAAAGGTCAGGGGAGGCTGGGTTAACCCATTGCTTCCCAGAAGGGCCTCTTGGTACTTCCCCTGACACCCAAAGATAAAGGAGAGAATCTGACAGCCACTCAGCTTGCAGGCCGCGTTCCTGGGAGTTTGTGATTTCAGAGAGGAGTTTGGTTTCCTCTGGGCAGGAGTCAAGGCTCTGGGAGAGGCATCGTTAGGACCATCGTGACAGGTTACTGCCTGATGCTATACTAAGAAACTGGTGAGTCAAACCCATATGCAACGAACTCTTAGCACTGCCATTCATGGGCCTCCTGTGTCCTCATCTGTACAATGGGACTAATTATGATGTTAATAATAACATTCCCCACCTCCCAGGGTCGCGGAGAACACTGAAGAGGACGGCCTCTGTAAAGATAATTTCTAAACCCTGAATCCTGATGATGGTCTCTGTGCTTGCTGGGCTACAGCAAGCCCTTTGAGATCTGCAAAGCAGAGCTAGACTCTCTTTTCTCTACCTCCTGCTGCTATGACTCTCCCGAGGCAACACGCACAGAATGGTCAACCCCTTCCCCCGTCCCTGCCCCATTGGCTGCAGTGTGCAGGACAGAGGTGTGTGGCCAGATGCGGCCAGGCATGTCTCTGCTTATGTGGCCGCTCTATCAGAGCTGCCCTCTGTTGCCCTCCTGGTCTGCTTCACGGGGTCCCACAGGGGCAGGACCTGTGCTGTTGACCTTCTGAGTATGGGTCTTTCTGGGGCGCACGGTTGATGGACAAGCCAATGGTCAGTTTTGTGAACGGAAGGGTCAGGAGGATGGACTGGCAGACAATGAATGGGTGAACGAATGCATTTGCCACACCACACAGTGGGGGTCATTTAGCCTCAAACTGGGCCCACTCTTGCCCTCAGAAGACCCTGGCCTGGCAACAAAAGTGTAAGTTCTTCTTCCTCCCACCCTGCTCCACCACCATCCTTAGCCTTGCTGGGAGTGTCCAGCTCTCCCCTCAGAGGCAGGCACTCCGTGCCAGGCTTTTCTGCTGCCCTCTAGAGGAGCTCCTGGTGGAGAAAGCAGAGTGGAAGAGAGGAAAGATGATGGGCCTGGGAGTCAGACCAGCTTGGATTATAATCCTTGACCAGCCACTTACTAGCTGTGTGATCTAGAGCAAGTTGTGGAACCTCTCTGAGCCCTGGTTCCTTCATATACTAAAAGGAAATAATAAAGCCTACCTCGTGGGGGTTAAGTAAGATCACACTTGAAATGCACTTAGCATAGTGTCCAATACTCAGTAGGCAGCCTCGAAACATCTGATGAATTAAAGCAAGTACAAAAGGACACGTGTTTGCGCTCTTTCATGAGCAGGGCCAGATACAATAATTAAACATGGTTTGGGGACTTCTAGCTTCAGAAACTACACAGATGATTGAATAGTTATCCCAGCAGGACCTCTTGGATAATCTGTACCAGGTATCAAGGTAACTGGACCCAGTCAAATTGTTCTCCTCTGCACCTTAGTTTTCCTTTCTGTAAGATGGGTCAGGTTCTACTTAAGCCCTGGCTGGGGGCAGAATGAATAGAGTCAAAAGAACTGATTAGCTGTTGGCACTGACCCACCCGACCCTTCACTCACCAGACAGGAGAGGCCCCAGGAAGGGCCCTGGAAATGCGTTAAAGAAGGAGCAGCTTGGAGACCAAAGATGACTGAATATTTTTTCCTTTTATGGGCCGGGGCTCTAGATCACTGCTTCCTGGAGATTGTATTCTAAACTTTGCTGTGATGGATGTGAGGTCCGCGTGCCCACAAGCTTCAGCGGAACCCAGATGTCACCCTGGGGGAGGGACTCTGGCTTTACCTCGCTATTTTAAGCAGTGAGTTTATAATAATGGATGGGAGAGAAGCAAACAGGGCAGGAGCAGCGTGGGAATGGCCCGGGAGGAGGGGCTGCCAGGGCTCCCCCGGAGGAGCTGGGGGTTCCATCTCATCAAGTGTGGGACCTCAGCCAGCATCCACTCTGCCTCTGTCCTGCAGCAGCTGACATCTGACTTAATTCTTTTTTTCTTTCTGACACAGGGACCAATTTAGGGTCTTTCTGGAAGAGAAGGAGGCAGAGGAAAGAAAGCAGAGGGTTAGAAAATGGGGTGTTTCTAATGAGACTTTGGAAAATTGTGATCCTTGTGCTTCATAGTAATTAAAAAGTGTCCTGGATTTCAGGAACTCCCAGGGTTGAAAAAGGCCCCTGAAATTGTTAAGAAACCTGGGACCCTTGCCCCAGCCTTTTCTGGAACTCCCCAAGGAACCAGGAGCTCACTACCTTAATGAATAGCCCATTTCATCTTCGGAGGGGTCCAACCACCAGAAGGTTTTTCCTTGTCTTCATCTGACCTGTCAGTCATTGGCCATGCACCTATTCTCTGGTGATGATAGAACCACATGAATGCCTTTCAAATATCTGGGAAGAGATTTTATTTCTCCCTACACTTTCTCTTCTCCAGGCTAAAGTTCTCTAGCTCTTTAGACACAGACTCTCATCCTTCTAGAATCCTGCTTCTCCCTTTTCCCAACATGCCTCAACAGTTGTCTGAATTCTTCTTAGCACACAGAGCACAATATACTTTGTGTAGATTAAGACATCAAGTTAAAGTAGAACAGTCACCTGCCATGTTTTGGAAACCATACTCCTTCTAAAACAGCCTGGACCTGCACATATATCACACGTAATATTAAGAGGTTTCCTGGAAGGTGTGGCCACTTCCTTGGTCGAATTGGGGTTTGTGGATCCTCTACTACTAGCCTCAACCCCCAGTACCTTACACTTGACCTAGCATCACTGACATCACTGCTGCGGAAGTCCAGGTAAACATGACAAAAATTAATTACTGAGCTCACCTTTGGGTGAACCGGATCCTCAATCTATGCATACAGGAAGCATCCAACATGAGAGACACTGCATACCCTGGCCGCCCACTCCCACTCCCAAGAGTCAGGTGATATCTGTCCAGTATGGTTTCTTCCATTTCTGTCTTATCTTCCTGGCTAGACCTCCTGCTATTCTGTTTGGAGAAACTCCATTCAGCACATGTGCTCATGGCTCAGTTCAAACACCGTTTCTAACGTGAAATCTTTGCTCCAATTAAGTTCCCTCATCTGAATTTCCATATTTAAGGAACCCTTTTCTGGGGTCCCACAGCATCTCCCTTTCAAAATGTTTACCTCCATGATGCTGCTTTCCGGATGCCTCCCACCACTGGACTCCATGCTCCTTGGGGGCCAAGACCATGTCTTCATCATCTTGGTGTGACCAGCACCTAGCATAGGCCTGATAGAGCAGGTGTGAAGTGAGTGGTTCTACTTGAGATGAAATTTCTTGAAGTGACCAGCAGGGGTCACTCCAACTGTTCCAGAGTTGAATAGGGGCTAACTACTGCAGAGGAGGACAAGCCAAGATGATGGTCACATTGACCAATCCTGGGACTAAGGGTCTCTAGTTCTTCACTCACAAATCAACAACGGGTTTTTTTTTTTGAGTTGGAGTCTCTGTCACCCAGAGAATGGCATGCTCATGGCCACCGCAGCCTCAACCTGCTGGGCTCAGGCGATCCTTTTGCTTCAGCCTTCCAAGTAGCTGAAACCACAGGTGCATGCCACCACACTCTGCTAATTTTTTGATTTATTGTAGAGATGAGGTCTCGCCAAGTTGCCCAGGCTGGTTTCGAACCTGTGGACTCAGGCAATCCTTTTGTCTCTGCCTAATAACCATTCTTTGATGGATCTTTTTGTGTATCCAGGGTGGATTCAACACCTCTCCTGCCTCAGAGAGCTCAGTCCAAAAATCCAGAGATGTGTGTGGGGGCTGGTGGGGAGTGGGGAATATGTCCAAGCTGGGCTGATGGCAGATCCGGGCCTGCCCTGCCACCCTCTGGCTCTAGGGCCTTCTAGCCCTCTCTGCCAGATAACAAGAATGCCTAGAGGGTCGTGCACGGTAGCTTAAGCCTGTAACCCCAGAACTTTGGGAGACTGAAGCGAGAGGATTACCTAAGCTCAGGGGTCTGAGACTAGCCTGGGCAACTTGGTAAGACCTTGTCTCTACCTGAGGGTAGAGAAATCAAAAAATTAGCCGGGCATGGCAGCAAGTGCCTATAGTTCTAGCTACTTGGAAGGCTGAGGTGGAAGGATCACCTGAGCCCTGCAAGTCAAGTCTTCAGTGGCTGTCAGTGTCACCAGCCTGGGTGACAGAGTGAGACTCTGACTCAAAAAAAAAAAAAAGAACACCTAGTATCGTGGGAGGCAGCAAGGCTTTCTGAGCCTTCCTCCTAACGCCTTCAGCAGTCAGCAGCACTTCCCATAGAACCAGAACATTAGCAGATGTGTCCTTTGCCCCCCCCCACTCTGTGTCCCACTGATCAAAGGTCCCCTGTCTGTGGCATCTGCATTGTGATTTTCATCTGCCATCCAGTGGAGCAGCTTCTTCAGGGAACCTCTAAATGCTATAGAACCAGGCTGGTAGTTGATTCTGTAGGTCCCTGCAGGTATCCCCCCATTCCCACTAGGGGAAGAAGGAGGGAGTTTAGGGGTTTGAAGAGTCCAGGCAGAGCCCTTGGAGCTCCAGCTAAGCTTCCTGGCCTGAAGACCCTCAGGCAGGTAGCCTCTGTGAGAACCTGATCTATGCTGGGTGTGATTTATCCTTGGAATATTCAACATGGGAGGTGTTTTTATTTTGTTTTGTTTTGAGTCAAGATCTCACTGTTGCCCAGGCTAGAATGCAGTGGCTCCATCACAACTCACCACAGCCTTAACCTCTGAGTAGCTGGGACTACGGGTGAACGCCACCATGCCCAGCTCAAAGTCCTGAGCTCAAGAAGTCCTCTCACCTCAGCCTCCCAAAGTGCTGGGATTATAGGTGTGTCACTATGCCCTTCTGGGAGATGTTCCTCTCTCTGTTCCCCAACAAGAAAACTGGGACTCAGAGGTGGAAGCCCACTTGTCAAGGCCACATAGCCTGTAAGGGGCAGAGTAGGGACTCAAAAATCAGGCATATGGTTCCAAGTCCTGTGCTCTGTCCACCTCCACCTTGCTATCCTGCCTTTCCAGACGGAGGTCTGGCGTTGTTGTTCTCCCCTTCCAAGCGGAAGCAGAAGAGCCAGACCCATTGGCTCAGGTGTGTTGGCAGAATCATAATCCTGGGCCTCTTGACTGATAATTGACATGAAAGATCAGTGAGTATGCTTTTAGTTACAAGTGAAAAACAAACAAACAACACAAGTGCCTTCAACATCAAGAGTCTTACTTGTTCATGTGACCGGCTAGTCCAGAAACAGGTAGGCTTCAAGTGCACTTTGATCAGAATTCCAGTTCTGTTTCTCTGCAGGTCTCTTGACTCTGCTTTCGTCTCTGTATGTCCATTTTGTCCTGCCTGGCTTTCCTGGTGGAAGCAAAATGGTGCCCGTAGCACAAGGTCTCACATCTGCACACTCCACCACCCGGTGCAAGAGAAAGCATCTGGGTCCTAGAACACAACAGTATGCTCATTTGCATAGATTAAGTCTATTGTCTATCCCTGAACCAATCACTGTGGGAGATGGATGAAAGCATGCCTCAAGGTTGCTGCACCATGGGGTCGGGGGATGGTCAGGGTAGCCTGGCTTCTGGAAAGCAACCCAAGGTTGCTGGCAGTGGGCACAAGGTATATGGGAGCCACCCTGGCTGAGCCTCCAGGTTTTAGCAGAGCTGGCAAGTCCAGTGAGGACCGTACTCAAATGAAAGAGCCCATGATGAGGGTCAGAAGAGCATGAAGGGAAATGTAAGGAAGGAAGTCAGGACACAGCACCCCCCCCACTCCCCACCCACACAGACAAGAAGGGCTTGTGGTATGGAAAAAGAGCCCTGGCCTCAAAATCAGGAAGATCTAGTTTCAAATGGTTCTCTGTGTGATTTGGGGCAGGTGGCTTCCACTCTCTGGAGAAGTTCTCACATCCATAAAATGGGAGTATGAATGCTTACAGCAGAGGTCAAATTGAGGATTCAGTGAGATGATGGTGATGCTTGTAAGACCATGCCCAGCACCCAGTAGGTGCTCAGTAAGCTATAAACAAATACCAATGTGATCCCAGTGGAGAATCTTCCATTAGCTACAGCGTTGAGGAGTATGAAGCACTCTTCTTCCTTCTGGGATAGCTGTGTTTACTGTAAAGACTAAATTAGATGCAAAATCTCTACGGTCACCTCTGACTTTGTAAACAAACCCAGAGAGCCGGAGGAAATGCAATTCCAAATGCCCCCTCCTAGCCTAGTTTGACCTCCCATGTTGATGCAAACTCAAGCTGGCTCTCTCTGTGGCTTGTGGCTCCGGGAAATGGAACCCAGCTTGGGACAGGAATGGGAATGGCTTTGACTTGTCCTTTTGGCGTCTCCCCAGCCTGCGGAGCCCAGGCCTCTTGGAGCAACTTTGGGGCTGACGCAGAGGAGATTCCGGGCACACGCGGCCACTCCCAGCAGGAGGCTGCCATGCCCCACATTCCCGAGGACGAGGAGCCCCCTGGAGAGCCACAGGCAGCCCAGATCCCTGCCAGCCAAGTAAGTGCCCCCTTCCTGCCCTCGGCTAGCCTGGCTGGGGGCCAAGTCAAGCGCCCTGGGCTGAGGCCTCAACTCCTAGTGGCCAGAGGTTTGCTGACAGTACATGCAGGCTGTAGCGGGCGCATGGGGAAGGTGCGTGACTTCTGTACTGAGGAATAAATTACCCTGAGTTCGTTTGAATTGACTAAGCCCCCCGAAAATCCTGGATATGGAACCATCTCGAGTGTGTCTGACCAAGGCCTCATGAGAAGTCAAACTCCTGGCCCTGCAAGCTCCCTCTGAAACTGGAGATAGACTTACAGGAGAACCGTCAGGACCAAGAGCCTCAGGGTAGTGGGCACCAGCCAAAGGCAACTTAAAGCAAATCCACTTAAAGGGAAGATCAAAATTTCATAGTAAAAGGTTTTCGGTGAAATTATTATAGAAAAGAAAATGATGAAAGCAAGTTAATTTAAAGGGTACCACTGAGATTTTATTATACAGATGAAGGTATAAAAACAGCTATTTGTAGCTAAACAGATTATAAAATATAGGGTTTATGCAATTTTTAGATTGAACAAAGAATCAAGTGTTGATATATTTATTTTTTATATGTTCATGTGATACCTTTCTTCATGTCTTAGTTTACAGCACTTTCATTAAGAGACTCAGTTTGTTATGACTCGGTTTGTTTTATATATATACACATATATATAATACAATATATCTGTAAATATTTAAGGGATCCATCCATGTCTCCCAACGATCTCTTTCAATTCTTCGATATCCAAATCACTCACTTGCTTTCTGTTTTTTGGTGGTTGTTTTTTTGTTTTGTTTTGTTTTTTTTTGAGTTGGAGTCTCATTCCATCTATCTAGGCTGGAGTGCAGTGGCATGCTCACGGTCACCCCAGTGTCGGCCTGCTGGGCTCAGGCAATCCTTCAGCCTCAGCCTTCCAAGTAGCAGGAACTACAGGCGTGTGCTACCACGCCCAGCTAATTTTTTGATTTATTGTAGAGATGAAGTCTCACCAAGTTGCCCAGGCTGTTCTCGAACCCGTGGGCTCAGGCAATCCCTTCACCTCGGCCTCCCAAAGTGCTGGGATTACAGGCTTGATCCACCGCGCCCGGCCCAAATCATTCCCTTCTAAAGAAAGGTTGGTTTTTCTTCATTTGTTAATTGATCAGTTCTATCTGCTCCCACTGGTCAAAGTCCTTACCCGTGAAGTTCTCCAACGTCGTTTTCTTTGACTTCATGAACTTTGCAGTTGATTTGCAGTGAACTTGTATCGTCCTGTATCTGACAGTTGTCATAACTGGCCCGAGCCAGAAGGGCAGACACTTGTTAAGTGAAAGAGGATGCATGAATGAGTGTTGCTTTTACAAATAGGCAGATTCTTAGTGAATATTTTCATGTTATGATGACATTTGTTTTCTTCCACATCATAAATGTGAGAACTTAGATAGTAAATACTTTGAACAGAACGGCCCCTTGTATCTCCATGTCCCAAGCGCATGAGATTGAGATGTTGTCGAATTTGGCAGCCTTGGAGTAGGGATTCTGGCAATTCCCTCAAATGTCTAGGTGACAGTGGGCTGAGCCCCCATGCTTTCAGCCTCAGGCAGCCAGCCAGGGTTTTATCGAGTCCCTGGCCCCACCCCAGGACATCCTGGGCCAGTGTTTGCTGCTGAGGCTGCCAAATTCTGAAAGCTTGGGGATTAAAGAAGGGAGTGA